TGATTTTTTAAAAAAAATGTATCATGCATTGTTTCCTGCCCTTCAAAATAATATTATTCAAAGCCCCTGGCCCTGATGCTATACCCCCTGATTTGCTAAAATCTAATCCTGAGTGGTGGATTCCTCTTTTAGCAACACTCTTCACCCATATTAATACCTCTGGCCAGATCCCTTCCTACTGGAGTCTAGCAATCATTGTTCCTGTTTTTAAACGAGGAAATAGGAACAACCCAACCGATTATCATCCTATAAGTCTGCTCTCCACCATTGGAAAATTGTGTGCTAAATATCTCCAACGCAGACTCCTCACCTGGGCTGAGGAATCCAACATCATTGGTGTTGAACAGATTGGGTTTAGCGGGCTGTGCCACATTGGACCACTGTTTTGTCCTAGCACACCTGGTTGATAAATACGCCACCATACCAGGTGGTAAACTTTTTACTGCTTTTATTGATCTAAAGGCACCTCTTCCCATTGTCTGGCAAAATACAATCTTAAATTTTGTTCCATTCAGTCGTTATAGTTTGCATATCAACTGTTGTTTCATTATCAACAGAATTTTATAAATAGTAATTGTAGGGTTTTTTATGCCAGACTTTAATAATCACTTGTAGTAAATTAGATGTATCGAAATGCCACAGATCTACATTGGAATATTATTTTGTAATATTTTAAGATAGCTTTTGCTTCAAGCCCAAATATACCTTTGCAGTTGTAAATCTTCAATTGAAGTATACCAAAGCAAACTGCAACTACATCCTTTCACTTTAAGCATGTCAAAAGAAAAATGCAAGTGTTAGTGCATATTTTCCCAAAACCTAAAAATCTACAGAGACAAATCACTGGTTAAAGAAAAATTCCAGAATAGTCAGTTTGTAATCTACATTCAGTTAGGCAATGCAAACAGTGTATGGAAAGGAAGGGAGGCAGTGTGGTGGAAAAATTAGAAAGAATGGAGAACAAGATTGAAGGAAAATTAACCTTTTATTCAACAATCATTGAGTTCCAACTTTGCAAGGCAAAGAATAAAGAACAACAGACAAGACATTTTATAAGAATTTTGAATAGCAGAACAGAATGTTCTAGATACTGATTCACTGTCAGCCTCTTGGGATCATATCAGTGGTGGGTTCCTCCCAGTTCGGTCCGGTTTGGCCGAGCTGGTAGCGGTGACGATATGACGTCACCGAACCGGTTCTCTCCCCCTCCCACATTACTCTTACCTTTTATTTGGTCCCACCCCCAATCTATTGCTGCCTCCTGAGTTCCAGCTGATGACTAGAGGGAAAAAAACTGTTTAAACTCTTGCCGCGGGGCTTCAAAGGGCCATCCTACAGCTGATCAGTGTTAAAAGCAAACAAATGAGTCAGGTCATAAGTGCGAGGACTGGTCGTAAGTGCAAGGACCTTCCAGAAAGGACTCTGACCAGCTAGCCACATGACCTCCAAGCCACACCCACAAAATAAGCCACGCCCACAGAACCGGTAGTAAAAAAAATTAGAACCCACCCCTGGATCATATGCAGGAAAATTATGTTTTTTTAGAGTAACATTGCTGGGTTTAGATACACATAACCCAAATACTTACTTGCAACTTCCTTATTTGCTCTGCTTTGGTCAGTTGAATGGGGCGGGGTTTCTGAGGCTTCTAGTCAATTTCATTCTGTCTTTTTTCATGGTGACTACTATTTTCTTCCCAGTAAAGAAAGGATGGGGCAGGCTTTTTTAGAGGCAGAAAAGGAGCCTTTGGGTCTGATAGATACATGTAAGTGGGGAATTGAACTGATCCTTGCTTGTCTGCAAGTTCAAAGGGAAGTATCCTGAAAATAAATTTTAATTTCATTTCAAACATAGCAGGTAGAACATGCCATTTGCCTCAAAGATTTGATCAAGCAGATTTTTTTAAAATAGCTGAGTGCTGTTTGATGAGTCATTAACCATGCTCCAAGGGGTAATGTTTGCCAGATATAGAGATCCAAAGAGATTTATATTATATTTTTATTGATATTTAGAGTAATAATCTGTGAACTATCGTAAAAGAGAAAGACCCTGAGATAGTTAATATGTTGATTACAAATACAAAACTAATATATAAAATGACAAAAAATGTTGAGGCTTTGGAAAAAGTGCAAAGAAGAGCAACTAAGATGATTAAAGGCATGGAGACTCAAACATATGAAGAATGGTTGCAGGATTTGGGTTTGGCTAGTCTAGAGAAAAGGACTAGGGGGGACATGATAGTAGTATCCCAGTATTTGAGGGGCTGCCACGAAGAATAGGGGGTCAACTTATTTTCCAAAGCACCAGAAGGCAAGACAAGAAAAAATGGATGGAAATTAATGGAAATTCAAGGAGAGAAGCAACTTGGAATTAAGGATAAACTTTCTAACAGTGAGAACAACCACTGTTCAGAAGTTGTGGGTGCTTCATCACTGGAGGTTTTTAAGAAGAGACTGGACAGTCACTTGTCTGAAATAATATAGGGTCTCCTGCTTGAGCAGGGAGTCGGACTAGAAGACCTCCAAGGTTCTTTCCAGGCCTATTCTGATTGATTGATTGATTGAAAAGCTTGAAGATAATTTTACTCATTGGCAATTCTGACTTGGGCTACTTCAATCAACTGTTTATTGGAGCAATTTAGAATCTTCCTATTTTTTAAAAAAAATATCAAAACTGGAAAGGAGACATGAAATATGGACATAAAAAATATCATCAGCATATTAACCCTAGCTCACATTCTAAAAAGTTATGCTATATACATTAAATATTGTAATCTTGTTAATACAACATGATAATGATTTCAAGCACCTATTTAAAATAACAGAGGGAAATGGGCATCCTTGTCTAGTGCCTTTATCAATGAAAAAAATGGATTAAAAATGACTGAGTATCACTTTGGATGAAGAAGGTACATTTGAATACAGATCCAATTATAAATTCTTCAGAAAATCCTGAATAAACTAGAATACTGAATATATGTTGCCAAAAATTTTTTGCCAAAGGCTTTTCCAGCATTCAGTGTTACAATCACAGCTTGGTATTATCCATTATTCAAATAAATCTGATTTATTGTAAAGAAAATATTGTCTGATCCATATCAATCCTTAAAAACTCAACCTGGTTACTAATTTTTTTAAATTTTTTTTAAACCTTTATCGTTAAAACAAAAGTTGGACATGGTGGAACTGTCTTGGCGATATCTCCACCATACAAAATATAAATACCATGTTTCCCCAAAAATAAGACTGTCTTATATTTTTTTGAACCCTGAAATAAGTGCTTGGACTTAGTTTTGGGGAGGTCTTATTATTTTGGGGTGCGTGGAGCAAGATGGGGCTCCTCTTGCCATCTTACCTGATTTCCAGTGTTTAAATTTTTTCGGGGAGGACTTGTTTTCAGAGGGAGGCTTATTTTAGCGCATGTGCTCAAAAGCCCGATTGGGCTTATTATCAGATCTTATTTTCGGGGAAACAGGGTATATACAAAATATAGCATAAGTTTCTTATATCTTCAATATGCATTACTAGTAATTCTATACACACTTAACTTCTTTTACATATTTACAGATACATACTATATTACATATATTGCATCTTGTTTCGATCTATACCTCTTGTTATTATTTGTTCCAACTTTCATTCCTTAGGTCTAACCATTGATAACATTTATTCCAAATCTCATAGTATTCTGTTTCTTCTTTATTTTTCAGTTCTAACGTCAGTCTATCACATTCTGCACATTCAAGAACTTTCTTTATTATTTCCCATTCTTTCGGTGTGTTTTCACTCTTCCATTGTCGGGCGTAAACTATTCTTGCTGTTGTTATGATATGCAGTGTTAAATATGTTAACCCTTGTTAACCTGGTTATTCTTAATCACTAAACATAATGACTTTTGCTAGAATTCTTATTTGCTAGAATGGATGTTATATCTTGATATCTACATTGGTCAGGAGGATAAGCCTAAATTGAACAAATATGACATTTGCCTGGCAAGGTTCACTAAACAATAACAAAATGTCATCTTCCAAAATATTATTATATAAAAAGTAATATGACTAATGCTTGGAAAGGTGGAAGGAAAGAAAAGAGAATAACAAGCAAGGTGGATGGCCTCAGTCACAGTGGCAATGAGTGCACAGTTGTTGAAGTTCCAGATTAGGGATAGATTATCATGTAGAAAGTCTATGTGGCCTCCAGGAGTCATGAACAACTTGATGGAACATAATCAATGTGAATTTAGAAACAGTTGTGTCAGAAAATACTTTGTATTATTCGTCAGGAAACCCATCATGTCCAGTTACTTTACATTACTCAGATTTATGACCACAGTTTTAATGTCATTAGTAGTCAAAGTGGTATTCTTGTAAAAAATTAATTGCGGGAGATTATTTTAAAAACAAAAAGTCTACTTTCATGAAATACAGACTGACTATGCAAATTTGAATACAATTTAAGACATTGGAATGTTACATTTTCAGAGGAATTACATAAGTTATTGTTCATATCTTTAAAAGGTATAATAAAGTTTTCATTGTTTTTCTTCAAGTTACTTGGCATTTCCCCAATTTTGGTGTACATATATTAAAGCAAATTCAGACCTGTGTGATATTATTCAGGTTAAGCTTATATCTCTCTACATTGATAGGAGTGCTAACTATCTGTGCCTAAAGAATTTCCATTTTATTTTTTTATATTGGTTTCAAGATTTTTTTTCTCATATGATGCATATGCAACAATATGGACATGAGTATAGGCCTTATGTGCTTCCCATATAAAAATTAAAGAACTAACTGTACTTGCATTTAATTCAAAATACTGCAATGCGTCAGAATTATGATAAGAAAAATAAACTGGTAATGACAAGATATGATGGATAGATTTGACATTCTAGCAATCACTGACATTGATTCAATTATTCTAATTCAGAATAAAAGCTGTATGCACTATGTGTTTATAGTACAGTAGATTTTTAAAAAATGATTGACATTCATATTAAACAATTGTTGAAGCGCACCATTTTATTTACAACATTATAAAGTCAATCGTTTAACCAACACTTTAATTCCATTCCAATAAAAATACATTAACATTATTGTAGTCGGTGTTTTACTGGGTTTTTTTTTGGAGAGGCACATTGCTTTTATATCTATAAAATTGTAATCTGAAGTATGATCTGAACTATCCAAAGTGAACATGATGGAAATTATGGAGAAATTATTTAAAATAAGATTCCAATAGTCTTAAAACCATCTAAAATGAATATGCATGGTCCCTGCTTCCTGATATTCACCAGACAATCCATTTGGTACCTTAGTTTTATATAAATACACAGATTTTATTGCCAATAAATACATTTTTTCACATTTATATAGTTCATATTTCCATTTCATGGATGTAAAATATGAATATGTTTGTAATACATTTGTGTATAGGTGCCCATGTCTATATTTTATATTTGCATATAATTTATATAATTACCCATCTTATGTATCATAACCCTGGGCAGCTTACAAACAATATGCATATATGTACATCACATAAACACATCCATCACACTCACAAGAATGAAAGTTCGGTTTTATTTTCTATTGCACCCTATACATTCTCTGTTCTCCAAGCTCCATTTCACTCCCCTTGATTTTTAATATTAATGTAGCTGTCAGACTGAATTTTACTCTGTTGACATAATTTCATCAGGTTGGCATCAGTTCTTTATGTTTATTTTTACAATTTTGAATTTCTTTTAAAAAGTCTTGATGTTTTGTAAATTTCATTTGTGCATTTTAATATATTTATTATTTAATGTGAAAGTTTACCATAAAAGAGCTTCACTAAGTTATAGGTAATAACACTGGTATAGAACAACCTGCACGTAGTTATATAAAAGAATTTGTCATATTTTATTGAATAGTATTTTTCAGATACCCCTTTTGATATCAAAATAACTTACCTAAAATCATTCTTTATTTTATTTAATATACTATTGATTTACAAAAACAGTAGTTCCAGTAAGCATTTAAAATTCTTTTGCTTAGTTACTATCTTGAATTTTACCTATAACTGAAGTCCAGTTTTTGACAATAGAAATCAATTTTTCCAAAGGACAATTTATTTTTAAAATGTTCTCGCAATACAGAATGCATTTGTTTACTGTCAAAACATCCCACCTGTGAACATAAAAATAACAGAATGGAAAGATAGATACAAAGCTTGCAAGTTAGTTTTTTTTTTTTTTTTTTTGAAGGACTGCTGGGTCACAATGATGAAGAAAAATATTTACGAAAGTCATTAACAGTCATAATTAGAGTGTCATATAAATTGGAGTGAAGCTGCTAAGTTGAAATCACTAGAAGTCCAGGTGCTTCTTGCCCATGGCCATCGCACTACATTCTGTGCTCAGCAATTTGGCGGAGACTGCCAGATCCTGTTTGCTTGTGCGGCTCACTGTGTCTGACAAGTCTGGAGGCAAATGCAATCGCTGTGGCAGGAGATTTTCAGTAGGGGGAGGGGAGAGGAGAGAGGGGGAGAGACAGAGAGAGAGACAGAGGGAAGAGGACAGAGGGAACAAAAAGAAAGAATTATAATGGATTTTTATTAATATTACTCATTTCAAATTCTCCCTGCCAATGAGCAAAACATTTGAGTGGTTTCCCCCCCTTAACTGTCTCTCAAATCATTAAGCATATGTCATATATTTCTCTAAAAAATTCTATTTTCCATTCAGCTTTATTTTTTCTCTCAAGTTCTTTCAAAGCCTGAGATCCAAATAGGTAAAAAAAAATAATAAAGGAAAGGATGCTTTTGAGTTGAGCAAAACTTCATATGAATCTAATTCCATAAGCCAAGATAAGTCCTTTACAATACAATTCAAAAGATGTACAGTATATTTAGACATTAATCCTACTGTGTGCCTGGGGATTATTCTCTAACATGGGAATTATACTCTAGTGATTTCAATGTATTCCTAGACCCTCATATGTAATTCCCAATGAAGTCAATATGGTCTAATTTTGAATACATATGTACAGGATCACAGGATTCATTTTGTTCCCAAAACAAAAAGCAAATTGTTTCAATTTCAGATTGCATTGATAATGAATGTTCAGTTTGTACTCAGAAGAATAAAACTGAATACAATTGGATTGAATGAAGATAAGTTTCTTTCAGTTACCAAACCTGTATTCTAACCTAGGTGCATTGTCTTTACATTTATTTTATTACTGGTAACATGATTTACTTCCCAAGAGAAGTAGGTAGTTAGCAATATGAAGAATACACTCACTTTTGTGATACTGTATACAAATTAGAATTCAAAGGAACAAAATTCTTGCTATTTCTTGGTGCCTGGGTTTGTGTTTATTAACAACAATTTGTCCATACCACATGATGAGTCAGAGACTTTCAAAAGCAACATTTAACTTGAAATAGAAGTAAGTAATTGAAGGAAAATAAAAACATAAATAATTTGCACCGTACAAAGGGTCTTTGGAACTTCATTATGTACGATACAATAGGAAGAATGCTAGGTTTATGGTGTCTCAACAATGACAGAAACATATTAAGTCTATCTTCAGTTTTACAAGTCAGAATCAGTTAGGTTTTAATGTGTCTGTTTATAACAATAAACAATTTTAATAATAATTCTAGAAGACTAGTATAAGACGAGATCCTCAGAAAGGGAGGCTAGAAGTTGAGAAGCAATATATGAATTGGTGTAGGTGTATGGATTTAGTGAGAGTGTGGATATTGGTAAGAACAGAAAAATACTGGAATATATAATGAATGGTGTTGCTACATAATACCAGATTTAAATTAGACATCATTTTCACTTATTTGTTCTTTTTTTCTTTTTTTCTTTCTCTAATTTATTTATTTTTTACTCTTTTTCTTTTCTTTACATAATGTTGCTTATTCCAATGTGAATAGCATGATGGTACATACATGTATGCATTCAATATGTATTGTGACATATTTCATAAAGTTAAAGAAATTAGAACTAGAAATCATTTGCATACATAATTTACAGCAGCACATGCTAATTTAACCCTGGGATGAGCATTTCCCCTCATTATCACTTTTATCATTCTCAGCAACAGGTATTGCATATTCTGGACTGTTATTAAAAGATTTGTTGATGGAATTCCCGTTTGTGTGGAGAGATCAAATGAAATTTCCAAGTGAAGCAACCCAACTGGGGTGGTTGTAATTGACCAACAAGTATACTGTGAACAAAGAGATTGTGAGTCTTGCACTGCATCCATAGTTAGATCAAGTAGTGTAGAGATAAAATCACTTCAGAAGAGGAACCAGAAACCTTCACTGCTCTGAAAACTACCAATAGTTCAAGACTGTTTATATACAACAGTCATTTGAGTTATGTCTTGGATAATGTATTTTCCGACTGACCACTAAGACCTTTGCTTCATAGTGATTATTGGCACAAGTGGTGAAAAGGGGCAATCCCACAGCAGGTTTGGAAGAAACAGTCTCTTGTAGAATGACTGAATAAAAAAAATGGGAGGTAGAAGTGAAGACAGTTTGAATTCAGATGAGATTGAAAGATAGACAGGAACCAATGTTGCAAGACTCTCATGTGCATACTTGTGAAAGAGTCTACTGTGGTTTACAATCTGCAATACTTGGTTCACACATTGCAGTAAACATAGTGTAGTTTGCTTAGTTTTGACTTAGCTTGATGTGTGAACTCAGCCATAGTCTTTGTTCACCAAAAATAAAAAAAGAAAAAGGAAAAGGGGGGATGTTAAAAGGCCCTTGACTGTGACTTGGAATGAGTAACTAGGTGCATAATAATAGGAAGGCTCTGTCACAGCATGTGTTGATCACACTAGAGAGAAAAGCATTCACTTGGTTACATTTTTAAAGTTGTTTTATATTAGAAAGGGAAGGAAACAACCAGAGTACAGAGTTTGTTCTTAATATTTTGAGCATAAATCAGAATTGTTTAGAGGATAAAGGACAAATTTATCTTGTATTTGACAAATACAAAAAAGAAAATAAAACATCTAAATAACCTTTTCTGTTTGAATAAGTTGTTGCTGCTGATCTAAAACCTTCACAATGTTAAAAAAAGAGTACTGCTTTAAAATAATTATCTGAAGTAATATAAATGTATATACTTTTGACTAATATTATTTTTATAACATACTTTGTTAGATTCTACAACCAAACATTATTTACTTGATCTCAACAAGTTGATTCAAATTAAGCAATATGCTTACACTGCACTACACTATATTACACTACAATACAATATGATCAATTTAAAAAGTAAATCTAAAGTGTAAAATTGTGTATGAAATGTTTGCATATGCCTGAATTTCCAGTTACACTTGAATTTCAAATGAGAATTATATGAACATATTATATGAGAAGCTTTTATGCTACCCAACTTATTTTTAAACTATTACACAACAGCAGAGGAATAAAATAAAGTTTAAAACAAAGAGAATTCCGCAAACAATATAATTTTACTGGACTTCACTAATAGTCAGGCCAACTATTTACTAACAAATGGAATAATGCAATATAATCCACATTAACTAACAGAACTGTGTTCTCTTATATCTATTTCAAATTCAATGAATTGAAGAAAAAGTTCTTAGTTGACAACTTTAAACTACAATAGAAAGATATTTATTTTAGACTATCAATCCTTGTGACAACTGTTTTTATTGCATAGTGAACATCTAAAACCATGCACATAAAATGCAGATAGAAAAACTAAACAATCACTAAGCTTATAAACTACAAATATGGTATTTGTTTATGCCAATATCAACTATATTTTATTTAATATATTAAAGTTATAATCATAAACACGCTTGGAAAAAGATTTATTGATATTAATGAGATTTAGGAACAAAGAATAAGGCTATGCATCTAAATATCTATTGCTGTCCATTACGTACTACTGGTGTAAGTGAGCTAAATCATTGCACCACTATAGTCTGACTAGCTTTGAAAAGTAGCCTTTGCCTCTTGACCTTAACTTCTTCTATTTGCTGGTAACATTCCATTATGTTCATATTTTCAGAATATGTGGTCTTTAGATTACAGCTGAAACAATGATAATGGCTATGAATCTGATTAGATGAGTAGGTAAGATACCAGAAACATTATACAAATAAATTCTGCTCAGGTATTTTTAAACGATACCAATATCCAAAGATATAAAGTTGGAATAACAACTATGACCAGGAGCTTCTGGGTTTTGGATTTGAAAAGCCTTTTAAAATTCAAAACCCATTAAGAAGAAGCATGTTTAAAGATTCAATAACAAATATTGTTAATGAGGACTGCCCTATTGTTTTGTGCTAATGAATGCTTGGATATGAACATAATTACTCAAAAGAAAAATGTCTACACAGTTATAGAAAATTAGATCTTGTAATGTATTCAAGATACCTAGATTTAATGAGCTTATTAATTACTATGAACAGCACAGATAAAAGAATCTTTGGCATACAAAATAAAGGTTTATGCCACTAGGCTGCCTAACTATTGAGATAGTTTTTCTACAACTATCTATTTACCCATTACAGAAAAGTACAGCATCTATTAATATTTTATTTTTATATTTTGTAAAAGCACAATATTGAAGCTATCATAAAAATCTTAGCAGAAACTAGTTTTTTAATACTCCATCTTGAAAATGTTATCTCAGTTTATAAAAATCAACTGCTTCATTGTTATTTCATGTTTTTATGAGAACCTTAGCTCATTTTTATTTACTCTATTATTTATGTCTCAATATATATTTAAAAAATAGAAAAGACATATTTTAATGGAAATTGTCTAAGCCATAGAAAGGCTATTTTATATGTTGCTAATACTTCTAAATAGATAGGACATTATAGAACCTGACAGACACTCCCTATTTATCTGAACTTCTGGTTTTAATTTTTTATTATAACAAGCACAGGGGATTAAAAAGGGAAATAACCACCAATGCCTGGACTACATTTGGCCCATACATTCTTTTTTTTTTAAACAGCTGATATTTTAAAATAAAGTCACTTCGAACAGCACCTTACCAATTAGCATAACAGAGTATTTTCAAAACCATAAACAGTTTTTCATGGTAGTGAATAAAAAACAGATTTTGCTGGGAAACTGTTCCCGAATCTAATAATTATCCTCTTCATCCTCTTAATTCAGTCTTAGTGTTTTGCTGAGGAATGGGATGGGTGCCAGTAGTCGTCGTCAGGGGGATTACGGTTATATGAGTCTCCCATCAGGAGGCCAAGCAGCCTGCAATTACTAAAGAGCGGTCCTTTTGATTTAAAGGAAAAGTTTCAGAAATGGACTAAAACGTTGAATAATACACATGATTAGTAATTTGTAGCTGTGGATCAGGGGTTCCCCTCTACCAGAAGTGTTTGTTGAAAAAATAATAAAACCGACACCTGTGGGGAGTTTTAGTATTTCATTTTTCTCTTGATTCAATGGAACTTCTAC